TGAGAAGAAACCTTGGTAAAATTTTACTCTTATAACTTTGTTATGAGAAGATGTGGATAAGTTATTTGAATAAATAACTCACCCCTACAACAATGTGTAGTCTGAGTGTCTGTGAAATCTTTGTCAGATGTCAAGGTCTTGTTTTCACCCTCTTTGCTGGAGGTCAGAACGTCTGTCATTATCCTAAACATGCGCTGCCAATATTTATAAATCCTTTCCTTTTCTGGAGCTGTCTTAGCCTGTAATACTGTTTTGACTTCATCTGTTTGTGTGCCCTGTTGCCAAGAACGCTCTAATTTACAAACAATCCTCTAAACAGCTGCAGGGGTGGGTGCTGCTAACTCTAACTGCRAAAAATCACCCTCAGCTAACAATACTTTGCACATCTGCACAAACACATCTTTCTCTGTCCTCACATGTTTAGACTCTACATCTTCAAGGTAAATCTGAAAAGTACGATACAAGATTACCCCCAAAGAACCCTCCTGAAAAGTATTCAAGTCCTCTATAAATTTATCAGACATTTTTATCAATGTATTCACGTAACCCCAGCACAGGAAATCTGGCGCAATGCCCAGCAGTTGGCAACCCTGAAATAGAMAACTCTAGTAGCAGTCTACGTCAGCACCCCCTGCTGTTGAAGAATCTCCTGGCCTGGTTACCCTAAACTAACAACAAAACCCCCCCAAAAAACTTGCTATCACCACCCACAGATGTCCCACACCTCCACTAGCGGTCACTTTTTGTGTCAGACTTCTTAACTTAAGAGTACTTTTACTCTAAATTAATACATGACACAGCCATGTGAATGAACACCTGCTGAGTGGAGAACCAGCCCACACATTTACACACACACAGCTCAAGAGAGGAAAAGAAAGATTTTGATTCCTGGATTTTTCCCAATGACGCATGAACYACCCACCTATAAAAAAGGATTTATCTACTTTAGTTTATTTACTACCATGCGTAAAACCCACCAGGCAATCTGRCCTCACAATTCATGGATTTTTCCTTTAGTTAGGCCTACTAAAAAAGGCCCACTCTCCACCACASAATTGTTTAGTCTACCCACCCGCTCAGGCTAGCGTTTTATAGATAGCTCACCCCGGGATTTTGGAAAACGCGCTTAAAACAGCCTCAGGAGGATTCCTTAAACAGATCTATTATTGTATGACATTAAATCACAGCAGATCGATATGTTAAAACATTTAAAAAGCATGTTTTACCATCCGTATTAGCTACGAGTGCTTGTTTTGTCTGCGATCGATAAGCTAATAAGCTACCATTGCCACACTGGTTTACAGTCCCAGCATAGCAATGCTAACACAGAAGCTAACAATTAGCGAGTCTGTTTCAACGCCCCGACACACAGGTCATAAYGCAGAAACACAGATCGTCGCACAATCCYGTTTTATTAACAATCCGGAAAGAAAAAATATTTTGCTCACCTGTTTACTGGCRCCAGGAAGTGCGGCGATGCAGCGAATCCCACGACAGGCCCCGTGCCCAAGCAGCRCCAACACAGCCTCGCAATCAACTGACCATCAGCCAAACGTCGGGTGTCACCAAACTGTAATAAATACGTGTTTAATATCGGCTGAAATCAGATGAAAACACAAGTGTTAAATAAGATGATCTGTGATATGACATTAACGTCATACAACCCAGAATTCTGGAGAGATGAGTGAGGTTTATTTGTTACTGGCTGGCAAGCCARACTACACTGGCTATAACCAGGAAATGGATCAGTATATATACAGAATCTTCAATGCCTGAGTTCGCCCCCTGCTGACCTACGGTTGAACCACCGGCATTCAGACGAAGACCCCACCCTAATGTTAACACAGCTTTTAATTATGTGTTGTTCATAATCCGGACATGTAGCTACTCTATTTCAATTAACACATAATAGATCAWACATTATACAAGTATTATAAAATAAGGAAACCCTATACTCTGGTGTAGTTTTCTAACATCAGTACTAATCTATAATAACTATAAATTTCTTCACTAAAATGACAGGTGTTTTAGTTTCATTGTCTAACCCCTGTATATGACACATTGTGTCCTGTTCCTGTTTCAAGCAAGTCTTTGAGCACACCTCTCCATCTGATTCAGTTTTGAAGTGTTTCCACTAGACAAACCTCAGCTGTATAGAAAGCTTTCTATAGAGCCAGATGCTTCTCTTCCTGAAAACATTTGAACCATCTGTCCGTCTCTGATCTATCTAACCTGCTGGGGCAGCTTCTGAGCCTGTTCCTTGTGTGACCTGGTCCAACTTGCCAAGTTCTGAATGGATACTTTGTTTATGTTGTTCTTGGGTGATGTCAGGAAGATACTGCCACAATGACTGAAAAAAGATTTTTGTCTATTAGACAAGGTTTAATTTTTAATAAATTTTGTTCCATCTTAGCCCACTGATTTCCTCAGTAGTTATATTTCAACTCGGTGCACACCTACCATCCATCTGCAATCAGCACGCCTGACCTTTTAGTGTTCCCAGTACTCGTACTCCTGGTTCTGCTCAGTTTTTGAGAGCTTGACAGTTGTTTTTTTTAAACAGATTGTTTTGAGCTTACAAAAGTTATGTTTGCTGCAGTTGCACCAGTTCCAGTCAAACACATTTAAATTCCATGAAAATACGGTCAATGAAATTAATTTTATGTAAATTAATTCCAGCAAAATATGTCCAGCTTAAATAACCACAATAGACACAACACAAATTCACAATTTACTATAATTATATGTTAAATTAGCATGTGTAAAGCTCCCCTCTAATGAAAATAAATAGGTCATTTTTAAAACATGTATAAAAAATGCATTGTGGAAAACAAGTCCATGAGGATTCATTAAAAGAAGTAATCAAGACCATTTCCTCGTGGTGTTGGTTGTGATGAATGATCACCTGGTACATTAGGTGTTTAGAGGAGGTACATTACTAGTAAAAACATGCTTAACTTCCAAATACAATTGAAAAATGGAGGTCAGATTTGTCTTTACTGACWTGCGATCAGCTGTGAATGTATTGAAGCTGATGACAGTTTTTGTTTTGATTGCTTCTTTAGATGGAGTGAAACAAAAGATTGAGATTACAGAGGGTCTGACTACTTCTAGTGTCAGTACTCAGRCTTCATTGAAATGTACCCTGCAGAGTACACCTCGTTTACCTGCTTTCTCAATGAATGGTGACTTTGTCATTGGAGGGGTTTTCTCCATTCACTACCAAATGCACGTTGTGATTTCTAACTTCACTACCAAGCCTGAACCTTCAAGATGCGCAGGGAGGTGAGTAACAGAAAAAAGGGGGGAAAGGATGTCGGACATGTACAAATAAAAATGATATATTTTCCTATCTATTAAGATACTGTATATGTGCAGAGCTTTAGATATAAATGTTATTTTTTATATTTGAATTACTAAAACACTTCATGTTATATTTTTAGCTATTAAGTGACATTTTGATTTTGTTTAGTTTAATTTGTTCATTGCATTAACAAACAAAACAAAACAGACAAAAAATAAGAGTTTTATTTATTTGTCAAATTGTTTCTTAGATTTTAGTTTTTTTTATTTGTAAATTATGCATATGAGAGAACTATGTTATTTAATTCTCTGCAGCCTTATAACCCGAGAACTACGTTTTTCTCGAGCAATGATGTTTGCTATTGAGGAGATTAACAACAGCACAGAGCTGTTGCCAGGCATCACACTTGGATATCAGATTTTTGACTCATGTGCTTCAGTGCCCATGGCTGTTGATGTTGCATTTCAACTGTCAAATGGCCAGGATCCTATGTTTTACAAAGGCAGCAACTGTTCACAGTCTGGTGTGGCGATAGCTGCTGTTGGTGACTCTCCATCCACACCATCTATCAGCATATCACAAATTATTGGGCCTTTCAATATTCCTCTGGTGAGTCCTCTGGATTTTTAGAAAATTCTAACTTTAAAAACAAATGTTTGAATAAAGAAATACAAGTTTGCCTTTTTTAAGCGTAATTTCTTTTTTAAAGGTGAGCTATTTTGCCACCTGTGCCTGCCTGTCAGATAAGCAGCAGCACCCAAGTTTTTTCAGAACTATTCCCAGTGATCAGTTCCAAGCTGATGCTCTGGTCAAGTTAGTGAAACACTTTGGCTGGACTTGGATTGGTGCTGTTCACTCTGACTCAGATTATGGAAATTATGGAATGGCATCTTTCCTTGATGCAGCACAAAAAGAAGGAATTTGTGTGGAGTACTCTGAAGCTTTTTCTTGGACAAACCCACATAGCAAGATCCAGAGAGTAGCTGATGTTATCCGAAGGTATCCATTTCATCTGATTTAACGTTTGTTTGCTTTAATGAAAAATACAGATTAAAATWAAATTTAGTGCCACAGAATAAATATTGTTTCATTGTCTAACTTTTGTTTTTATGCTATTTTTGACCGTCAATATAAGTAAAATCATCTATTTCATATTGACACATCTACAAAATGTTTTCGTTGTTTATGCAACAATGGACTTTTGTATTTTGACACATTTCAATGTTTACAAGTTACAGATATACATACAGTATATATATATTTTTTAAGTTCAGGTTAAATAAGTCACCACAATTATGAATTTTGTTTTAGCCAACACTTTGCTCTAATAAGTCAACACTTCATATGCCTCCATAGGTCAACAGCACTGGTTGTTGTGGCATTTATAGCCTCTGCAGAAATGAAAGTCTTGTTAGAGGAGCTGGATCTGGAGCCTCCACCACCTCGTCAGTGGATAGGAAGTGAGGTCTGGATTACTGACCCAGACTTGATGAAGTTTGGTTTCTGTGCAGGAGCCATTGGAGTTGGAATCCAAAAATCTGTCATCCCAGGTCTGAGAGACTTCCTGCTTGACCTCTCACTCACTGAAGTAGCTGCCTCCTCACTGCTTACTGAGTTCTGGGAGGATGCATTCAACTGCACTCTGACAGAGAGTAAGAGGTTTTATATTATATGAGGTTGAATATCGGGTTGAATGTCACGAACCTGAATTGTCACCAATAGAATGTTGATTTACCTACAGGTTGTTGTAACCGAAATTAGGGAACTTACACAAATTACTTGAACTTTTTTCTGTCTTTAGATACCAATTCACACAAGAATGTATGTGATGGAAGTGAAGATATAAAAACACTCAAAAGCCCGTACACTGAAACATCTCAATTACGAATTACTAACATGGTGTACAAGGCTGTTTATGCAGTAGCTCATGCCATTCACAATGCTGTGTGTGAGGAAAGAAATTTCACAACTCAGTGTGACAAAAATAGTAGATTAGAATTCAAACAGGTTAGTTAAAATGTAAAAAAAGAAAAATACTGTAAATTTAGAAGTTGTAAATTATACTACATTGCATGTGAGGTTTATTATCAAGATTACCTTTAATGACATTCTTTCTGTACTCATTTTTTAGGTGTTATCAAAACTAAAATCAACCAACTTTTCCCAAAATGGTTATCCTGTGTCATTTGATGCTAATGGGGATCCTGTGGCTTTTTATGAGCTGGTAAACTGGCAGAAGACTGAGAGTGGAGTCATTGAGCTGGTAACAGTAGGATACTATGATGCATCACTGCCAAAAGGCCAAGAACTCCATATAAGCAAGAACATAACTTGGGTGGAGGGTGGCAAAAAAGTAAGGAGCACAATAGTAGTAATTATCCAAAAGAAGCTGAAGAAGCCACATTGTCACATGAAATCTGATTCCAAAAGCAATAATGAATCAACAAAAAACAAAACAACAACAAACAAAAACTATTTAGTTTGTTTCCATGTGTAACAGGTACCAGTGTCAGTGTGCACTGAAAGTTGTCCTCCAGGAACTCGTAAAGTGTTGCAGAAAGGAAAACCCATCTGTTGCTATAATTGTATACTTTGTGCTGAAGGGGAGATCAGTAACACGACAGGTAACCACTGTTTTTCATCTGCTTTAACRTTATTGAGTATTTGTCTGCCAAAAGTCAAGATTTAATTCACAATACTAATGACCCTTATTGTTTGTTTTGTTAAATAGATTCTCTTGAGTGTGTTCCATGTCCAAAAGAATTCTGGCCAAATGCAGAAAGAGATGTTTGTTCTCCTAAACCTGAAGAATTTCTGTCATTTGATGAAATTCTGGCAATCATCCTGGCTACATTTTCTGTTATTGGAGCCTGTCTGGCCATCATGATAGCAGTAATTTTTTTTAATCACAGAACAACTCCAATTGTTAAAGCCAACAACTCTGAGCTGAGCTTCCTGCTGCTCTTCTCTCTGACTCTGTGTTTCTTATGTTCATTAACTTTCATTGGAGCTCCCTCTGA